TCTTGGATTTTTGTTAACTAATATATGGCATGAACTAACACATGTGGATATGGGTTGTAACATATTTCAAAGTTGGACTTTGAACTTTTGAATGTTCCAATAAGTTTTATAGCCATTAACATTAGTAAATTAAATAATGCTAACAAAAACTCAAACCAAAATCAAATCAGTATTAATGCTAACAAAAGACATTCAATTCAATACTACGAACAAGAATGTATTGAATATCTATTTTTTGTTTAGCAATAATTTAGATAAAAATGCATAACCTATTTTTATTTTTTCTTTAGCATTTAGTCATGTAATTAATATTCCCTTATCAGTCTATTTATTTTAGCATGACTTAGTACTTTTAGATTATGTTTATTTTTTTTATGGCTTTTTAATTAGCAATATTTATATTACATAGTTTTATTGTCTTTATTATTGAATATTTTAGGATAATGACATGACACATCTCATATTTTGTATTATTTTCTTGAAAAATACTTTATATAGTTGTATCTTACTAGGATTAAAGAAATATTTTGAGCACAATTTATATGTTTTGTTCTACGAAGATTTTAACGGAAAAAATTCCATAAAAAAAACCAAAAAACCGAGAAAGCCCGAGAAAAATCGAGTGAAAAACCTGAGTTTTATTGGTTTGGTTTGGTCTTTAGATTTAATAACCCGACACAATTGATTTGGTTTGGTAATTGTAAAATTCGAACCAACCCGACCTATGTACACCCCTACCTAAGTTCATTTGTCAGTCTTCAAAACCAACCTTTACTTGGGCCAACAACAACAAATCGCCAGGCTCACTCGTCATACCAATGTCACCTTCAATATTGTCATTAGAATCCTTAGAGGAAAAATCATTGTAGTGATTATATAAGCGAGTCAAAATATCGCCACATATTCAAACTTTATTCTTCCCAACAAAGGACAATATGCAATGGAAAGAAATAGGCTCAACCTAACATATTTCTGCACTCCTTATACGAGAAATAGGCTCAATTTGTTCACCTATCCCATTTTATACAATCAAGTTCAAAATATGAGCATTACATCTAACATATAAAAACTCATTTCCAAGTATTCCCCATATCCAGTCATCAATAAGCACCTTCAAATGCTTAATGACAACATCATTAGCAGTTGCATTATCTAGGGTCACCATAAACAAGTTCTCAATGCCCCAACCTAATAAACATTCCTCAATACTCTTAGTTATAGTCTCACCCTTGCGATCTGGTGTTTGGAAAAAGTTTAGAATTTTCTTTTGCGGATTCCATTGATCATTAATCCAATGTGCAGTGACAATCATATAAGTGAAATTTTGAAGTGATGTCCATATATCACTAGTAAGACATACACGATGGTTCTTAATAAGCTCTTTAAGCTTTTTCTTTCTCTTCTTGATAAATCTTCAAACAATGTCGAGCAACAGTTACACAAGAAGATAATTCAAAATTTGGCAAAGATTTAGCCACTAATTTCTTAAATTCTTCTCCCTCAACAACTCTAAACGGTTTCTCATCAATATCTGTAAATTTGGCAATGGCCCTCATAATATCATCCATATTATACACCACCATTTCTGTAGAACCCAAACCACCTGCTAGCCAGCCTTCTTTGGTAGGTTTTAGTGTGGATTGTCTCTTATCAATGAACCTAAAGGGGGACTTGTGGCATTTCACATTTATGTGTGTCCATAATGTCGTAGTCTCATTGATGCTTTCGGCCACAAAGGTTGTAGAACAATAATTGCATTTTGCCCTACATTTACCTTCTTTAGCAATAAATTTGGAGAAATGATCCTAAATCTTAGACGTCTCTCTACTAGTATTCCCAAATTTAGAAAGTACTAGAGGAATTGTTCTTTTTTATTTTTAGGAGGAGTGTGTCAATAAGGAGTGCCTTTACCTTGCTTTTGAGATATCACTGGCATAGTTGGAGGAACATTAATAATCATCTCCACATCCGGTGCAGAATGTGTAGTTTCTATCCGAAAAGAGAGTTACTGCACATGATAAAAAATTTGTAATCTTAAAGCAATAGTTATTAGCTTTCTGATACAAAACTAAATGAAAAATATTAACCAACAAAGAAAATTTGGAAACAGAAGGCAAAACAGAACACCATTTGTCCTATTTGAGCAAATTCAATGATCATCACAATGAGCTCTAGCACAGAAACAACAAATAAATGATACCTCAATCACTGAACTATTAAATGAAGTAGGTTTAAACTAAGTTCAACACTTAAATTCCTTTTAGATTAATGCTGAATTTTCTACATAATGGGGAACAATACATAATTCTTGAGCTCCTCTGTACTCAACAAACTAAACACACCAGATGTGTTTGACACTAAATGATTTAATGTAGAGCTTTTTAACAAGCATATGATGGTAAAAATAAAGCCTTTGCAACAGCAAATTAAAGATGAAGACCACAATTTAGACAATATGAAAAGGTAACCCCACAATTATGAATAGGTAAAATAGGCAAAATCTTTGTGTTCCTCAATAACTAAATAAGCAAAAGGAATATACAGATACAAATACTAGTACTATAGCTTAAGAGAGAAAAGTTGATACCTCAAATGATAACACCAGAAACTTTTCCCCACATATAGATGATCAATACCATTTACAAATATGAATATATACCTCGAGTTATAAACGGAAAGCATCCATATATACCTACATATGCAAATAAGTGGCTATTAACTCCTATATAAGTTAGCAAGAAATCAAAGAATTCAATCGAGCCAATAGTTTGTGTTTGAACTTTATGAGTTCGGGTTCGAATATATACCACAACTCATTTGATTCACTAAGTTTGAACTCTTTCATAACCTACTTAGTGCATTTGAACACATGTAGAGGGTATGAACTAAAGTTACTCAGTTTGGATGAACCTAATATTCTATACTACATCTGCCCTTGTTTGTTAAGGAGGTTCAAGATAATAGTGCTTGGAGGAAAGATAGATCTTTTACGTGTATTTAAATGGAAAAGAGTACCTACTTCTAAAGTTAGAAAAACCCAGAAGCCCTTACAAAAAGAATTATAGATAAAGGATGCAAATTGTTGTTCTAGTTCATTGAATCAATTGCAGCTTACTAGTTAATACATTCTGGTTGTTAACATATTAAAGAACGATACAAACTTACCCCAAATCAAGATGAGTTGATTCGAAATTAAACTAAGTTAGGGCGAATTAAACTTGAATCGAACGAACTAAACTTGAATTGAAAGGAAGAACTCAAGATGTGCGGTTGTAGGGTTTCCCTTTCTCAACTTTGGAAGTGAACGAAAGTTTGCTCTCTCAATTTTGGAAGTGAACGAAAGTTTGGAAGTGAACTAAAGAGTGCTCGCTCAACTTTAGAAGGGGATTTGCATCTATACCCGATTTTTGGGTCAAGTTTTAACTTATACCCGTTTTGCAAAAAAAAAAAAAATTGCAAGCGTACCCATTTTTCGCGTAAACTTCAGGCATACGGGCCTGAAGTAGCAAAGGCAATCACACAAACTTCAGCATTCTAGTAAACGGGCCTGAAGTTATTTGTAATTGCTGAACTTAAGCATTTTACTAGCTGAAGTTTTGTTCCCTATTTCCTGAACTTAGTATGTTTTAGCTGAAGTTTTGCCCTGGATTCAATGTTTTATCGTAAAGCTTTTTCAAAAACTTCAACAGAAGTTGCTGAAGTTATTTAGTTCATTTGTAAAAACTTCAGCATTAAATAAGCTGAAGTTTTGTCCTGGATACATTAGTTTTGTCATAAAGCTTTTTCAGAAACTTCAGCAGAAGATGTTGAAGTTATTTAGTTTATTTGTAAAAACTTTAGCACTAAATAAGCTAAAGTTTTGTCCTAGATTCATTAGTTTTGTCATAAAGCTTTTTCAAAAACTTCAGCAGAAGATGCTGAAGTTATTTAGTTCATTTGTAAAAACTTCAGTACTAAATAAGCATAAGTTTTGTCCTGGATTCATTAGTTTTTCATAAAGCTTTTTCAAAATTTTCAGCAGAAAATACTGAAGCTATTTAGTTCATTTGTAAAAACTTCAACAATAAATAAGGTGAAGTTTTCATCCTACAGTCGTACTAGCTGAAGTTTCAAAGCTTCAGCATAATAGTTCAACTTTCAAAGCTTAGTGTAAGAATTGCATCAATAAAGCCGCAATCAGCTTGTTGTTTGATATTACATTCCTGGATCCATCTGAATTCATTGCAAATATAATAAATACAGACAACGAATTATAAATAGATGAAGAAAAGTTCTAAACAATGTTTCAACAAAAAGGGCAGTCACTATGAGCAAATCAGCATTAAAATATACTACAAATTACAAAAATGAAGAGTAGAATAAAGAGTAGAAAAGAAAGGAGGAAGAAAGGAGTGCACATGTAGCAGGAAGAAGGAGGCGCCTGAAGTTGTAAAAATTACGGTATAAGTTAAATAATTTTAAAAATATGGGTATATTAGAAGTGTTGGATTATGGGTCATGGGTCACTCCACGTGGACTGACCCGACCCGGTTAGGAGAGATAAGGGAGAGAGGATAAAGGAAAGTTCCCACTAGAGCACAAACACCCACTAAATTGAACATGCAAAAGGGGTGAGTGATAGGTTATCTTCCTTAACCGCTATTACTCTCTCTATTTATCTGAAGGAGACAATATAGAACAGAGCACCGTAAGAGTTTTCTTTGACACAAGAATTTTCTTTGACTCTCTTCTTCTCCCAACGGAAAACACACACAAGTAAGGGCATCTAATTGGTGGAAGATTAACTTTGTTTCCTAGTAATTCAAAGTTCGGTTTGGGGCAATTGTTTCAGTGGTGAGTTCAACAATTCTTCTGCTGCGTTGACAGATACGCTAATGTTGTTTTTGCCCCACGATTATTAATATGACAATGGCATCAGAGCCAGGTTGTTTGCTCCTAATTGTTGCCAACGACCAGTTTTAAATTTGATCCAAACTTCTCGTAATCAGTGAATTATTTTGTGATAAGTTATTTGGCTTCTTTGATCTCTAATGTATAATTGATTTTTTTTTGAAAATTGACGCATAAGAGGCCAGATTGTACTTTTGACCAAGAAGTTTTTTTTCTCCAAAGTTTCTGCTTGTTTCAAAAGAATTAGTCGTCTTTTGGCACTAAGTCACAATTCACATAAGGTAAGTCCAAGAACATTATAAGGAGAGAGGAAAGTAAGAAAAGGACTGCACCTTTTCATAGGAAACTTGACTGAATCTTTGTTTAAAAGATGAGAGATCAAGCAATGACCAACATGGAAATTTTGTCCCGTCATGTGTCACCACTGCATCTACTACATACCGTGTACTTGCTAGTTGTCCTACACTCATTAGAATCACTTTATTGGCCTGCTCATACTTTCTCTTTTCCTGTTTCTTGGTAAACCCATTTATCTAGCTTGGATAATTTTTGGTCCAATGTTTGCCGGTAAAACTACTGCTCTTCTACGTCGGGTCAATTATGAAGCCAAAATGGGCAGAAATATGGTAATGATCAAAGAAAGGGTTGGTGTCAGAAACAGAGACAATATATATATACAACTTACAATATCTTAATATTAAAATATATTTTATCTTAATTCCTCAACTGATATCCTTCTACAAGTAATTGTGATATATGTTGTCACATTGAGTGGTTATAGCCATTCTTATTGTTTCCTTGGTCCTATTTCAGATATGGCTGAACAAGGACAAGTTCGAATTACTCCAAGTGGGAGTTCTCGAAGTCAAGAAAGGGGACAATGTAGAAGGGTACGCCATCACAGGACTTATTTCTATAATGATTTAGACTCAGAGTCTGAAGTCATCAGGAATGTCACAAGAGGGAGACAAAATGAGTTAAGGGATCGAAGGGATAAATGAAGGGAAAGAGAAAAGAAATTTAGGGAGTTTAAGGAATTTAAAATGGGCCTTGATGTTTCCGTTCCTGAACATGTACACCTCTTTAAGATAAAAAGTGCTGAATTGGCTAATTACGTAGAAATTACTGATTGGGAAGCATTAGCTATTTTAGCGGACTCTCTTTGAGAGCCTTGGGGTGAAATTTTAACTGAGATTTTATTATGATGTTTGGTCTAGTGCACCTTTTAGCGTATATGAGCAAGACTTAGTGTTCGAGTGGTATATGGATGTCCTAGCAAACATGTAAATTATTACCATGTGTTTTATTTTCATGAAATTTATATTATATTTTTTGTCTCACTAGTTACATACATTATTTATTATATCCTTTTGTAATGGATTGAGACTTAAAATATGTACACACTAAGTGATCTTAATATTAATTAAAAATATTTAGATATAGATGGTGAATTGAAACGTAGTGACCGTTCGATTCTATACTAAATGTTGAATTAATATTATAATTAATTTTATTGAGTGTGTAAACTAGTTGCATACATTGTTTATTATATCCTTTTGTAATGGATTGAGACTTAAAATATGTACACACTTAGAAGTGATCTTAATATTAATTAAAAATATTTAGATATAGATGATGAATGGGAACATAGTGATCGTTCGATTCTATACTAAATGTAGAATTAATATTATATTTAATTTTCTTGAGTGTGTAATCATATGCATAAATTAACTGAAGTATATATTGATGAGTTAAACTTGTAATATTGTCTCTAATAACAAACATGGCATCAAAAAGTATCATTGCTGACTTGAACAAGGGTGACAAACTGTATGGAGAAAATTACGATATCTGGAGTCGTAAGATGTGGTATGTACTCGAAGAGCATGATGCTCTTGAAAGTATTAACCATGTTATGTGTCACCCAGAGGAGGGTAACACTTCCCAACACAGGAGGGACCTGGAAACTTACAATGTTTGGAAAAAGAAAGATTCCACTGCACGTGGAATTATTGTAAGTTCAGTTGTTGATGATCTCATCCACGAATGTGAGCAGTATCCTACTGCTCAAGCCATGTATGCACATTAAATGGAGGCATATGGGGGTACGACTATGACTCGCCTTCGTCAGCTAACAATCAAGTTTGACACGTACAAAAAGCGTCAAGATCACGATGTCAAGCAACATCTAAGGTTGATGTCAAATATGATTGCTCAACTCAAAAGTGATGGCCATGTTCTCTCTGATGAGCAGCAGGTTCAGGTAGTGATTCGGTTTCTTCCCAATAATTGGGAACATTTGAAGGTTAACTTGACCCACAATGAAAGCATCAAAACTTTTGCTGATGTTGCCCATCATGTGGAGCTTGAAGAAGAGCGGCTTGGTGCTGCTAAAGTTGTACCTAATGCCTTTGTGGCAGAATCAAGTGGTACAAAGAGATCAAGCTTCAAGTGCAAGAGAAACTGGAAAAATGACAGAAAGGGTAAGGAGACCGGAGAAGGACCCTCCAAGAAAAGAAATAAGCCAAATTCCAAGAAAGAAAAACGGTTATACAAGAAGAAAGACAAGATCAAGATGAAGTGTTACAATTGCCAAGTCCCAAGGCATTTTGCTCGTGAGTGCACTGAGCCGAAAAAGGTAGCATTTTAAAACGCATCTCTTAGTGATATATATGTTTCTAGCACTGTTTTACTAACTAAATTTTATCCTGTGTGGATTGTAGACTCAGGGGCTACCGACCATGTGAGCCGCGATAGAGAAGCGTTTGTAGAGTTTCGTCGAGTTCCACCTAGATCAAAGCATATATATGTGGGAAATAATGCAAAGCTTGAAGTCAAAGGGATAGGCACTTGCAGAATGGACATGCGCGGTGGCCGATCTTTGATGTTGCATGACGTACTATATGTTCCAGAGATTCGACGAAACTTAGTATCTATGTTTGTTCTTCTAGATTTAGATTTCAATTTGAACTTTAGTCGCAGTGGTCTTAGAATTACTCAAGACAATGTTTTTATAGTTATGGACATCGTTATGATGGTTTTATTGTGTTAGATTGTAAACCTTCTATGTGTTATGGCATGTTATTCAAGTAACAATGATGTTGATATAATTACATGGCATGCAAGATTAGGTCACATAGGACAGGATCGAATGAATAGATTTGCTAAGGAAGGACATCTAGGTCCTTTCTCTAAAATTGAAATGCCAACCTGTGAAAATTGTCTTGCTGGAAAGATTACACGTAAACCATTTAGAAAGGCTAAGAGAGATGATTTTCCATTGCAATTAATCCATTCTGATATCTATGGTCCAATGAATGTGAGGGCTAGGTCTGGTGCTTTATATTTCATTACATTCATTGATGATTTCACATGCTTTGGTTATGTCTATCTAATCTTTCATAAATCTAAAGCACTTGAATGCTTTAAGAAATATATGAATAAAGTTGAGAATCAATT